TAGTGGAGGCAAATAGTAGGGGATGCTGGCTTCACTCTGCAAATGAAATTACAAGCTCTAAAGATGGCTTTGAAACAGTGGAATAGAGAGGTGTATGGTACTGTGGAATCAAAACTAAAAGCAGCGGAGAATGAATTGGATATGCTTGATTTGAAAGCTGAAATTAGTCCATTAGTGGAGGCAAAACTAAAAAAGAAAGAGAGCTAAGAAGTGAGATGTGGAATCTTAGTCGTATGATTGAATGGACATGGCTTAAAAAATCAAGATTTGATTGGAATCTAAGAGGGGATAGGAATACTAGATTCTTCCATATCACAGCAAAATACAGACTCAATAGAAATACAATACAACCCTGACTTTAATGACCTCACACAGCTCCACCAGATTTGGTTGTATGCCATTAAAAATGGAGTCATTCCTTTGTTTCCAGATGGACCATAACACAGCCATCGGAATAGCTTTCAAGATAACCTTTTCCTTTTTTTACAATATAGCACCGACCTACCAATCCATTAGACTACCAACAGAACCAGGTAATACCCATTGCATACCCCACCAACAGATGACATGAGACTAAACCTGCCAAACAAAAGGGCAAAAGACCAGCACATGGTTGACAATTTCCATCTCCTGATTACAAAAAATGCAGTTCACATTAGCCCCTACAACAAGAACCCCAATTCTTTGCAAATAACTAGAAATCTTGATTCTTCCTTTCCATGCCAGCCAACCAACCAAAAAATTGAGCTTTAGATAAGGACACATTCTTCCATATAATATTTACTGCTTTATACACAGGACCGAAAGATCTCTCACACCATTGTTTCTTCTTTATCACCCATTATCTGTTAAAATCATTTCATAAACAAAGATTCATCATCATCACAGCACAGATTCATCATCATCATCATCATCAGCAACAACAACAACAGCAGCAACAAAATTAATATTCTAAACATTCATACTGAATATGAGTGGAAAAATGCCACTTTAAAATTCCATAAGGAGTAAGAACATATGCAACTTTCAAAAGGCTAAGGTAAAAAAGAACTTTTCCTTTCCACCTCTTAAAATGAACTCCTTTGAACTTGAAAGGTTTGTTGAGATCTCCAATTCCATCATTGGTTTTTTCTGGTACTTGTTCCATGGTTGATCTCCTTAAAATTGTTGGAGAAAATACTAGAAACTAAACTATATTATTGATAAATGATGCAAAGAAAATGAGATACAAATAGATCAGGCTGAGGCACGGATATCTCGTTTTCTTTAAGGAGATCAAGCCCACTGCGGTAGGAAGAATCCAAATACCGATGCAGCAGTCACAACACTATGACTTGTCCCCTCCAGGATACAATAGCCCGACCACTTGTCGTATGGTTCAGGCCAACTCTGCACAAGATGGTGAACCCAAAGCTCCACCAATAAAACACCCTTCTTTTCTAGTAATCTCTCTTGTATAGAAAATAGTTTTTTTTTTGTATAGATAGAAAAGAGTATACTATATATAGGCTATAAGGACCTTACAGTTACACCAAAAATAATGACCATTAAACAAGAAAATGGTTACACCAAAATAATGACCATTAACCAAGTTCATGAATTCTATTTAACCTCTATTTATGACCAAGAGGTTACCAAAGTAATAAAACCCCATTTATGAAAAAGATAAACCAATAAATAAATATAAGATATTAAAATGGTCCAACAGTTATAACAAAGAAATTTTTGTTATTATTTTTGTCCATTTTTTTTAGTATTATATTTTGATTCTATGCTTCATATACATAAAGTGACAACCACTTAAATTTTTTCTAAAAGCAGAAAAAACGCAGGGGGCAAGTCTCTATGATATGTAAATAATTTTTGCTAATACCTATGTTATATGAACTCAGGTATGGGTGCCGGGTGCCGGTGCGGGTATGTATCTAAAGGTTGGACTCATCAAATCATAAATTTAAAGGTATATGGACTCAACAAAAAAAATGTCATATTTTTATATTTTTAATCAAGTATGTGAGAAAATTGTACAATATGTAACTTATAGTGTCAAAAAGATATTTATAGCAATTATACAACATTATATATGTATAATAATAGTGTTATATACAATTATATAAGAAGTATTCGTTGAAAAGTATCTGACAAATATCTTATACCCTTGTCTAAGTGTTAGGTGTCCGACACAGGTATTTGATTTATTTTGAAGAGTTTGTGTAACATAGGATAATACTTCTATAATAAATTGTGTTTTTCAAATCTTAAGGGGGAAGATCGCCCCCTCTTGCCCCCCTCTGGGTCCATCCTTGCACACATAAATAAATTTTCCTACAGTGGTTCATAGCTAGGAAAACACCTTCAAGGTAGGGGTGAAATCGGTGTTGTTCGGCCCCTTTCTTTTTAGTTTTTGGGCCAAATTGATTGATTTTATTTTTCAATTTTGCAAACCGAGCAGACCGAGTTAAACATATAAACCGGACCAAACCATGCCATATGGTTTGGTGCGGCTGTTATGGTTTCAAGCAACAAACACAAGTTCCACCAAGTAAACAACCATTTCTTGAATGTGATTTACACAAATTTTTCCATTCAGAAATTCACAAATAACATCTTGAATAAATTCATCAAACTCACAAATCCACAAATTCACAAATCAGGGTTTGAAAATCAAAAAGGGGTTTCAAAATTAGGATTTTGAAATAAGAACCTGAAAATTAATTTATAGGTTTTTTAGTCGATTTCGCTACACCCACCCACCAAGACGATGTTTGTGAATCCTTAAGTTGATTTCGCTGCTACACGCCGAATTGCCGATGAGTGATGGTCGTGAGAGAGTGATGGTGAAGGGTGTGATGTGAGAGAGAGTTCTGAAGAAAGTTAGGCCATGTTTGTTTGGGCGGACTGGATTAGCATTCCCATGACTAATAGTCCTAGGATTATGAATCCGTTGGATTATGTACCCTATCTTAACTAATAGTCAAGTTTAAAATAATTAGTCCGTACTTCAATTGTTTAACCAAACATCAGATTAATAATTTTATTGAACTATTAGTCCAATCCCAAGTTCATGTCCACCCAAACAAACATGACCTTAGAGAATTGAGAAAAAGAAGAAGAAGATGAACAAAATGTGAGAGAGTGAATAAATATGGAGTCTTTTCTTTTGTTATGTGGAATAGACAAGTTGACGGCTGTGATGAGTGATGAGCGCACGCGGACGGCCAGGATGGAAGGAAGACCTTAATGATATTGCAGAGCAGTTTGGTTTGGTTGAATATTTGAAAAACCACAAACCGAACCACCGACTGTTTGAAAAAATAAAAAACAGACTGAAAATTGGTTGGTCTGGTTCAGGCAATTAATCTCTCACCCCTACTTCAAGGTTGGAAAATTTGGAATTTTTTCTCACAGGATAATGTATCTACAATGAAGAAAATATGGGTAAAGCAAAAGCAATAATTAGTAATTAGTATTTTATTATTATTATTAACATGAGAAGGAAATCTAGAAGGTTCTCAAAAGGTAATAAAAAGACAAGTCTTTGTTACACTAAAAAGGAAATTAGTTGACAAAATTAAAAATTAAGGATCACAAATATAATTGATTGAATATGTCTGAGCTTTAGAACAACAATTGGGTGAAATGTTAGAAACATAATGAATTCAATAAAGTACTAGAAATCGCAAATCTATAGGTTTGTTTGACTTTACTTCTTCAAAGCATTAAAAAATAATAATAATTACTTTTATACCAAAAAAAAAATCAAGAATTACTAATTTTCAAAGACATACAAGGAGAGATAGAGAGAGAGTTGACATTTGAATACACCTATAGGTGTACGAATACTGGTACAATACAAGTACATCAATATGGTAAAATTATTAAAAAAAAATAAGGTAAAGGTACAGCTAGGTACCTTCATAAAAAAATAATTATTTTTAATTTGGAGTAATGCAAAACTCATTAGTTGAATGATTTAGTTTGTTACAATCCAATTCATATTTTAATGCCAAAAGTAAAAGTCTAAACCAAAATTAAATGTCATTATATTAAATAAATTACAAACCATAGCTTAATTCATGCTAAGCATAATAACAATAAAAAATATCCAATGAAACTAATATTACCTCTACGTCAAAAAAAAATACTACTTCGATTGAGATACGACTTGGTTGTAAATGGCAAAAATAATAAAAAAAAAAAATTGGGTATATGTTTCGTGTACTCGGTATGTATGCAGAAGTACCCTATAAAGTATTGATACCCAATAAGTACCCAGTAGTATGGCACGTTTGTCGAAGAACCCATGCTTCATAGGAATACAATGATAAACTTTGTCATATGAATAATTTAATAACTACAAATCTTTTTATTGGTTTCGTGAGAGATATGCACAATAACATGAACAAGTAAATGAAATTTTAATAAATTGTAGTACCTTCTTGTCTGCTATTCATTCTTTTTCAGAACCCCAGTCCTACAAGGAGGCCTGTCAAGATCCTAATTGGATTCAAGCTATGGAGACTGAATTGTCCGCTTTACAGAAGACTACTACTTGGGAGCTGGTTCCTTTGCCTGCTAACAAAAATCTGGTTGGTTTCAAATGGGTCTATAAAGTCGAGACTCATTCTGATAGTTCCATCAAGCATTACAAAGTTCGTCTGGTTACCAAAAGTTTCTTACAGGAGTATGGTATTGATTATGAGGAGACTTTTGTCGCCAAGATGACTATTGTTCATACCTTGATTTGTGTGGCTGATGTTCATCATGGACCTCTCTATCAGATGGATGTTAAGAATGCTTCTCTAAATGGTCATCTCGCTAAAGAGGTCTGCATGCATCATCCCCATGGTCTTCCTAATTCTTCTGGACATGTGTGTTGTCTTCGCTGTGCTCTTTATGGTTAGAAGCAGTCTCCTTGTGCTTGGTATGACCGTTGTCAAACAACTATTACTCAGCTTGGGTTTTATCCTTATGTCTAGGATTCTGCTTTGTTTCTCCTCCATACTTCTGCTGGTTTTATTACCTTATTACTGTATAATATGATCATCACTGGCACTGACTCTTCTATTATCTTTGAGGTCAAGCAGCATCTCTTTTGTACCTTCGAAATAAAGAATTTGGGCCCATTGCGGTATTTTCTTAGTATTGGTAGCTTCTTCTCCCAAGGGCTACTTTCTGTCTCAGGTTAAGTATGCAAATGAGGTTATTCACCATGTCAATTCTAGTATGGTGTACAATTTGGAGAGAATGGGGCGGATTCTTTGGTGTGGGATTGTCCACAGTCTAAAGAGGTTTTTTCGATGTCTTCATTCTATTGTACTCTTGCGGGTGGTAATGTTGTGCTTTTTCCTTGGAAGTGTATATGGGTGACAGGTTTACCATCTAAGCTTTCTTTGTTTGGATAGTTTTGGGACGTACTTTGACTATTGACAATTTAATTCATCGTCAGCATGTTCTGGTGAATTGGTGTTGTTTATGTTGTGGGGACGCTGCGTCGGTGGATCATTTGCTTATTCATTGTTTGGTTGCGTCTCAACTTTGGATGTTAATTGTTGCTACTTTTGGTTTGGTTTGGTTTGGTTTGGGTGTAATCGGCCTCCATGTTGGGTATGTTACAAAGTTGAGGTTGGGATGGGAGGAGGCGTCAGAAGGCTGGTTACTTGCTTCCCATTTTTTGCTTTGGCTAGTTTGGTTAGAGTGGAATAGGCATGCTTTTCAGGGTGTGTCTCACTCAGTTCCTTGGCTAGAGAGCCGACTTCTTATGGCGTTGAATAGTTGGGTTACGAGCTCAGTTGATCAAGATGTTTTGACTTTTGTAGATTTTGTGGAGGATTTGATTAGTTAGCTTTGTTTGGGCCCTTTATAGGTATTCTATTCTTGTATTCGTTTGCATCGTCTTGATGCTTTTTTATGAAGTGATATTATCTATCAATATATATATATTTTTTTCTTTTTCCTTGACCAACGCGTAAATTCAATGTGATTGAATTGCTCAATTCATTTAAGAGCAAACACTTTGATACTCTTACTTTATTCACGACCTTTTAAGAAATTATTGTCATTTCTATTAAAAAAATTTAACATTCTAGCTCACACCACTGCCAAGTTATCATAATTCATGGATTGGGAGCTTCGGCTGACCTAGCTCATAATTCCACCTTCACACCACTACCAAATCAACTCTCAATGCCTTTCTTAGTGTCGTGTATGCCTTAGCACCCTGCTCATTTGCACATACATATTATTTGACTTAGGAAAGGAAACCACTTCTATTACTCAAAGAATGATTACAAAGCTACTGGAGACTTCAAACTTGGTTAGAGGGAAAATGAGACCCTATCTTAGTAATAAGTCTCCATGTCTTCAAGGTCTATATTAAATATTTGTAAATTCATCCAATGGCTGCAAACAGATTCCAAAATCTTCCCACCTCCTTAAGGTAGATTGTGAAATCTCCCTTACAAATATCTCAAATATTACATAAGTTGGAAATATATCCCTTTCTTAAACTATTTACTCACTAGTCATTATACTTTCTCCACTCAATTCAAGCATACTTTTTGTAGTTCTACACTTCTATACTCTTTCGCACCATTCTAACCACTTGTGTACTAACTAGGACATACTTAGATAGCTCTTAAAAAATTCTAAAGAGTCACTAAACACTCTTCACCGAAACATCTATTCAACGAATAAAAATTCAGTATAATAGTAATACCATATCATCATCAGCACGTGATATCATCATCCAATAATTACGTTACATGCCAGCACGAGAAGCCCCACTATGTATATATGGCGGTTACATAATCATCTTGAGGTATACATGAGTAGTGGGGCTCAACCTCCCATGTGTAGTTTTATTGTTGGTTGGTGATACCATGTGTCAATGATGACATGTATCACCGTTACACTGAATTTATGACAACCCTCATCTTGTCTTAGTCATATCCATGAACATTTATATGATTTTGTCTTGTTAAGTTTGTACATGCAGACTTAGACTTGTTTTGCCTAGGTAAAGGTCCTTGTCTTGTCTTGTCTTGTCTTGATGCTATCATGTTTTGTCTAAGTATTGTATGCATGCTTTGTTCCTTACTTGGTGCTGCCTCAAGCCTAGGTCATGTTAAGCCTAGGTCATCTTAAGCCTAAGTCATGTTAAGCCTAGGTCATCTATCCTCACTGTCTCAAGCCTAGGTCACACCTTTTACACCTAGGCCGTTGAGCGCCAACACCTAGGACCATCTTGGAACCACCTTAGTTGACCTCCACCGTCACCTAGGCATATTGGCCGAGATGTGCATCACCTAGGCCGAGGTGTGCATTACCTAGGCTGAGGTGTGTATCATCTAGGCTGAGATGTTAATCATCTAGGCATCCTAGATCCTTGATCCTTGAACCTAGCAACCTTTTATTCCGAGACTGGTATGACCTAGGCCGAGGTGTGACACATCTAGGTCAAGTGTATCCTTCCTAGCTGAGATCATTGAAACTTCCTTGTCCGAAACCTATGTCTTGATCTGAGATCATTGCCTTGTCAAAGTGCCCATGCTATCTTACTTGTTGTACACACCTTGTCATATCCTTGTCTTTTCACTCTGGTACCTTTTTTAGGAGAGCTAATCAGATGATGTCACGTGTCCTAGCAGTGGTTTAAGCCAGCTAGCAGTGAGGGAACCCATATCATTTTGTCATATCTTTGTTCTTGAAGAGAGAGAAGCTCTAGGAAGAAGAAGGAGTTCTTGAGAGAGAACTAGATTTCCAAGCTTGATCCTTAGCCTTTGATCTGTGTTTTGAGGTCAGATTCTTGATTTACTCTTGTTGTTCTTTATGTTGATCTAATCACATTGCAATTTAGCATGATTCATGAGC